CCATCATTGTTGTTTGGCGGGTCCGGGCTGGGGATTCGAACCCACCACCTTAGGTGTACATGGCTGGCGCCTTAGCCGGTTGAGCTATAGGCACCGAGCCGTAATTCAACTTTTAAAACATAACCACTGCCAGTGTGTTATTATGGTGTATTTGTATCTTTTTTGCTTTAAACATGTCTTAAGTCTCCAAAGATATTTTGTGGCTATATTATAAATACTATTTTTCTATTATTGGAAATTCAATTTTTTAATTTTTAAAAATATTTTTATAAGTCTTTATAGGTCTTATTTTCTGTTTTTGTTGCCATTATTCCACTCTTGAAGAACTCAGACTAAATATTCTGATATAGGTCAGATTAGATTTGAGGATAATGGGATTGTTCTGTGTAAATAATTCCTTGAAGGAGGATGAATGAGAAAATGGCGTTGTCTAATGAGCAAACTTTAAGGTAATAACTAAATTTTTTTCATGTCAAATCTAATCTGCCTTACAACTGGGATTGCTTTCTGAAACTTAAATATTTAGTTGTTACAAGAGAAATAATTCCTTATCTTGATTATCAGATAATTACATTGTCTGATTTAGAATGTGATTACATTAATGCTAGATCATGTTGCTCAAAATTAAACAAGGTAAGATATTTCTTTGCTTATTTTCTGGCATCAGTGTCAGTTCTTCATTTGTCATATTAAGGATTATTATAAATAACCAACAGATGTATTTCTGATTTTTAGAGTGAATGTTACCTCTTACTCATTGCAATGTTGGTAGAACTACTGTGTTTGCAATATTTAATTAATTAATTAATTAATCTATTTATTTTGAGACAGAGTCTCACTATGTCACCCTTGGTAGGGTGCTGTGATGCCACAGCTCACAGCAACCTCAAACTCTTAGGCTTAAATGATTCTCTTGCCTCAGCCTCCCAAGTAGCTGGGACTACAGGTGCTTGCCACAATGCCCGGCTATTTTTTTGTTGCAGTTTGGCCGCAGGCGAATTTGAACCCACCACCCTCGGTATATAGGGCCCGCGCCCTGCCTGTTGAGCCATAGGCACCACCCTAAATTTTTTTTATTTTTGAGACAGTCTCACTATGTCGCCCTCAGTAGAGTGCCATGGTGTCACACCTCACAGCAACCTCCAACTCCTGGGCTCAAGAGATTCTCTTGACTCAGCCTTCCAAGTAGCTGGGACTATAGGTGCCCGCTACAACACCCGGCTATTCCTTTTGTTGCAGTTATCATTGTTTTAGCAGACCTGGGCTAGGTTTGAACCCAGCAGCCTTGGTGTATGTGGCCAGTGCCCTAACCACTGAAGTACAGGTGCTGAGCTGGTAGTTGATTTGTTTTAAAGCCATTTTACCTTTGGTATATTCAGAACTTTATGGTGGCAAGAATACTCTGAATTGCGGAACTTTTCTAGAGAGAAACTAGTTGGCTCTGATTCATTTTGTGACAGCAGACAGAACACCTTTCTAGATGAAAGTTCATGTGAAAATACAATACTGATGGCTGGGTGTGGCTCACTCCTGTAATTCTAGGACTCTTGGAGGCCGAGATGAGTGGATTGCCTGAGCTCATGAGTTCAAGACCAGCCTGAACAAGAACAAGACCCTGCTTCTAAAAATAGCCAGGTGTTGTGGCAGTTGCCTGCAGTCCCAGCTCTGGTGTATGTGGCTGGTGCCCTATCTGCTTGAGCTATAGGGGCCGAGCCATTTCTCTTGTTTTTAAGAGAAACTGATTTCAATATTTGAGCCTTTAAAATTTTTTTTGGTATTTATCTCAAATAAATTGTTTGTTTGTTTTTACATGCTTGCATTGTTTCTTAGTTTATCAATTTTAAATATTATCTGTTGACTTCTCAGTATTGTAGAGAAAAATTTAGCTATTAGGTACCCCGTTCCTTAAACATCTGCTGTCCCGTCTTCCTGTTTTTCTTTTTGGGATTCATTGATACTCATTGTTTATATTATTATGGCATACAATGGTAATATAATATTTTTCATTACTGAGCCTTCCAGTAAACAGTAATATTTTTCTTTCTTTTTTTTTCTGGATAACTGTTCTTCCCCAATGTTAATAAGTGCTCCATTTCTTTATTTCTTTAGCTTTCTATTTACCTGTTATTAGTTCTTTTCAGATAACATCTGTTAAAGCCCTTTAGTACTATTTTCTACATGGTATAACAAAATAATTTATCAATTAAGTTTTTTCTTAGGTGACATTTCTCCTGGAGACTTCTGTCATTTTGCTGTATTCTGGACTGGTTGCTCTTTAAAAGCCTCTTTTCATAGTTTTCATTCTGGGACTCCTGTTCTGGATCCCTTGATTCTTGGATCTCATGTTTTTTCTTCTTTTTGATTTCCTGTCTCATCATACTGGAGAAGCTTATGGTATATAGTAATTATATTTTGAAGCCTTCCAGTTTGAAAATATCTTACCTTGGGTGGCGCCTGTGGCTCAGACCCAGCCCTGGCCAAACTGCAACAAAAAAATAGCTGGGCATTGTGGCGGGCACCTGTATTTGGGAGGCTGAGCAAGAGAATTGCTTAAGCCCAGGAGTTGGAGGTTGCTGTGACCTGTGATGCCGTGGCACTCTGCTGAGGGCAATAAAGTGAGACTCTGTCTCTAAGAAAAAAAAGGAAAAGGAAATATCTTACCTTTATACTTGATCAATAGATAGTTTGTCTGAGTACAGGGTTCTACGTTGGAAAAGATATTTCTTTAGAATTTTAAAGACATTGCTTGGTGGTCTTTGACTTCCTGTGTTGTCCAAGTGGGGAAGTCTCAAGCCATTTTGATTTCCTATCCATTTTATATGATCTCTTTTTTTCTTGTCCTTTTTATGGAAATTTTAGAATCTTTTCTTTACCCCTGATGTTTTGAAATTTTGCAGTGGTGTACTTTCATGTATCTTTGGGCCTTTTTCTTTTTTTTTTTTCTTTGTAGAGATAGAGTCTCACTTATTAACCCTCGGTAGAGTGCTATGGTGTCATAGCTCACAGCAACCTCCAAATCCCTGGGCTTAGGCGATTCTCTTGCTTTAGCCTCCCGAGTAGCTGGGACTATAGGTGCCTGCCACAATGCCCAGCTATTTTTTGTTGTGGTTTGGCTGGGGCCAGGTTTGAACCCATCACGCTCAGTATATGGGGCCAGTGCCCTACCCACTGAGCCACAGGTGCTGCCCATCTTTGGCCCTTTATCATTCATTGTTTTGGACACCTTGATAGGCTCCTTTGATGTGGGAAATTTTCTTTTTTCTTTGATAGTCTTCCCCCCCACTTGTTTTTTTCTCTCTTCTTATAATTTTCTTACAACTTTAATTAAGTAGATAATTGTTCTGCCTGATTGATCTGCCTATTCTCCTTTTTTGTTTTTGTTTTTGTTTTTTTAAGATAGAGTCTCACTTTTGTTGCCCTTGGTAGAGTGCCATTGAGTCATAGCTCACAGCAACCCCAAAGTCTTGGGCTCAAGTAATTCTTTTGTCTCAGCCTCCAGAGTAGCTGGGACTACAGGTGCCTACCACAACACCTGGCTATTTTTAGAGATGGGTTCTTGCTCTGGCTGAGGCTTGTCTTGAACCTGTAAGCTCAGGCTGTCTACCTGCCTTGGCCTCCCAGAGTGCTGGGATTACAGGTGTGAGCCACTGTGCCTGGCCAATTCCTCTTTTTTTAAAGTTGTATTTATTTATTTTGAGGCAGGGTCTCACACAGTTGCCTGGGCTGTAGTGCCTTGGCATCATCAGAGCTCACTGGATCCTCTAAATCTTGGGCACAAGTGATCCTCCTACCTCAGAGTCCTAAATAGCTGGAGCTATAGGCGTGTGCCATCACACCTGGATAATTTGTTAATTTCTTATAGAGACAGAATCTTACTATGTTGCTCAGGTTGTTCTGGAACTCCTGGCCTCAAGAAAGTGCTAGGAGTATAGGTGTGAGCCACCACTCCTGGCCTTCTTATTTTTAATTCCTTTGAATTTTTGTACCATTTTTGTTTTATGATTTCTTCTGTTTTAGCTTCTGATCTTTTAAAGAAAATTTAGTATTTATGTTAAAAATTTAATTTCTAAGAGCTTTTTGTTCTTTTGATTCATGTTTGATTCTCTTAGTTCTCTGAGAATGCTGATTATTTTTGAAGTTTTCCTCTTCCTGTATTTGTTTCCTTCAAGTTACTTTCTTTTGTTTCTTTTCACCCTTTTTCCTTTCATTGTGGAGACTTTCTTTAAATTTTTGGTACATGGCTAAACACTAAAATGCTTGTTGAAAGCTCTTTTTTTTTTTGGTAGGAGAGGTTTTTATTGGTGGGGGGAGGGAGCCTGCAGAGCAGCACCAAGGAGGAGAGAAAAGAGGAGAGAGAGATAAGGAGAGAGTGGGGAAGAGAAGAGAGAGAGAGTAGAGAAGAGTGAGGGGGAAGACAGAGGAGAGAGAAGGAAGGCAGTGGGAGGTGAGAGAGAGAGCTTGAAAGCTCTTTTAAAAAATTTGTCTTTTTCTTTTTTTTTTTTTGGAGATAGTCTCAGTATGTCACCCACAGTAGAGTGCTGTGGTGTCACAGCTCACAGCAGCTTCAAACTCTTGGGCTTATACCAGTGGTTCTCAACCTTAATGCCACGCCCTTTGATACAGTTCCTGTGGGTCTCGACCCACAGATTCAGAACCTCTGGCTTAAGCGATTCTCTTGCTTTAGCCTCCAAAGTAGCTGGGTCTACAGGTGCCTGCCACAACGCCTGGCTATTTTTGTTGCAGTTATCTTAGCTGGTTAGCTGGCCTGTGCCGGGTTTGAACCCACTGACTTTGGTGTATGTGGCTGGTGCTATAACCACTGTGCCACAGTGCTGAGCCTCTGTCATTTTTTTTCTATATCAATTGAACTCGTTGGGTGGTCTGAGTTTATTCACTGGTAGACTTCACTGTAGAGTAATTAATGTCTGCCTGGCCTTTTGGGGGATACCTGTAATGGTAGGCTTTTTGTAAGGGTTTTCTGCTGAGCCATTAAGTTACTATTAGTTTCATTTTGATTTTTGAGACAAAATCTCACTCTGTCACCCTGGATAGAGTGTATGGCATCATCATAGCTCACAGAAATCTCAAATTCTTGGGCTCAAGTGATCCTCCTGCCTCAGCTTCCTGAGCAGCTGAGACTACAGGTGTGTGCCGCAATGCCTGGCTTATTTTTCTGTTTTTAGTAGAGATGGGGTCTCACTCTTGCTCAGGCTGGTCTCGAATTCCTGAGCTCAAGCAATCTGCCTCTGTTGGCATCCCAGAATGCTAAGATTACAGGCCTGTGCCACCATGCCCAACCCCATTAACTTATTTTGGAGAAGAATAAGCTTCTGCCTAAGGGATATAGTCTAATGCCAATGTGCTGAGAACAAGTTAGTGCATATTTTCTTTTTTTTTTGAGACAGTTTCACTCTGTTGCCCTGGGTAAAGTGCTGTGGCATCATAGCTCACAGCAACCTCAAACTCTTGGGCTTGAGTAATCTTGCCTCAGCCTCCTCTGTTTTTCGTAGAGATATGGTCTCACTCTTACTCAGGCTGGTCACCAACTCCTGAGCTCAAGCAGTCTACCACCTTGGCCTCCTGAAGTGCTAGAATTACAAGAGTGAGCCACCTAGCCTAGCTGGGAAGAGCATATTTTCTTAAGAAGGAAGAGACAGAAAGTAGGACGTTTTTTGGAGAGAGAGTCTCACGCTGTCACCTGGGCTAGAGTGTAGTGATATCATCATAGTTCACTGCAAACTTGAGTTGAACTCCTGGGCTCAACTGATGCTCCTGCTTTAGCCTCCCAAAGTTTGAGGGTTATAGGCATGCCTAACCTTGGTTACACTTTTTTTTTTTTTTTT